TATATCCTATCATTGTTTTATCCACTACATATGAAGAAATGTTCGACGGTGGCTAGCAAGATCAAAGACTAGTTTTTCTGTTGTGCTTCAAGAAGTAAATAAACTTCTTAATAAATTCTAAATCTATTAAATTAATCTAAACTTAAATTAGCAAGAGCAGGTCTTTATAAGTTGTGATTGAGATCTATGGTAAACTACTCTTAAAACTAAAATTTTGAAAAATCACCTTGATGCTAGCCTAACGCCATATTGTTATATAAACTGTTTGGACAAAGTATGTGATCAAAAATCAATCTTTTCATGTTTACGTTGCTGTTACGTGATTAGTGATCGATACAATTACTTAATAGAAAAATAATGTTTTATTTTCGATCATGGTCCGTAATGACCTAAAGAACGTTTATGTAAACGTATTTTGGGAAGAATAATCAGTAAAGGTCGTATACCCTTTGGTTTACTCCATCCGCCGAGCTCTGACTTCTACATTAACAACAGTGGATTCTGAGATGACTCACTCCCGACCCGTACCACTTTTTCAGAAACTCAATCTTGAACATTTCCACTTGATACTGTGAAACTTCTTTACGAAAACTATGAGCTTTTGAGAGTCCTTAAAAATGATTTGCAAAACAACCATAAAGTATTCAATATTCTTATTGATATATTAAGTTGATATATATAATATTATGAGTATATACAACATTGATTTATCGATTAACACAGTCTGTATTCGGAGATGTTTTTCTTGTGCATTATAAATTGAAAACCACCACAAAAACCAAAATTGTATACACTAATTTGATTTTCTTTTTCTATTGTTAAGTCTAATCGAACACTCGTTATGGGAAGTGGAGTGCGTGGTGGAAAATCATGCAGTTCAACTATTTGTGTTAAATTCGTTGTATTTTTATATTTAATAATTGTATCTAAAAAAAACAAAGAAATACTGCCCCGTTTGTCAAATTAGTTCTGTGACAGCGTAACAAGGTTGCGGTGATTGATGGTGCTGCAGCTCACTAATCCAAAGCTAATTTTGTAAATGAGTTTTTGAGACTTAAATCAACAAAAACAGGGGATTTGGATACAGAAAAACTTTTGTGAAGCAGTTATTTTGCATCAAAAGAGCCACTTGAACCGCGGTTCAGTGTGTTATGGAAAAGGATTTATTTCTCGCTGTTCTTATTCTCTCCATCTTCTTGCTCTCATTCACGCTCACAGTATATGTAAACAACAGATAAAAAGGAGACGTGCTACAATGTATGTAAGCTGACTCAAAGAAATACACACTGTAGCATATGATATTAAAGCAGAAATGTAGTGACATTTCTTATTTAGCGAAGGAACAACTAGACAATTTTAGGCTAAGATTCCGCCCTTAGAATGAGCTTATCCACAATGGGGAATTTTCACTAGGCACATGGACATTAGGTTTTAAACTGGAACTGTGACAGTTACCATTACCGTTACAGTAACTGTAACTGTTGATCGGTTACCGTTCCGGTAACGGTAATGGGTAATCAGTTACCGTTACAGATGACGGTAACTGTCGAGCATGTGTTTAACGAAGTCAGAAGTGTATAAGTTTTTACGGCTACTTCTACACATACTGTAAAATGTTGATCAATGTTGTATATACTCATTCATTTTATTAACTAAAGCGCCCATACTCTCTCAAAAATGATCAGCGAATAAGGTCTATGAGATAAAAATAAAAACTTTGCTATCGTTTATCTTTTATGTTGAAATACAAGGCGTAATATATGCAATCCCGATTAAGATTCTGAGTTGTAGTATATTGAATGAAAAATATGTATGTACACATCTTGTGACAAGAGAAAAAAATACTCATTATTTTTAAAAGACAGAAGTTAAAATTTATACTTTCTTTATTCGTCACTGTTTACCGAAAACATTGTTTATTTTATTTTGTGTCGTTTATTTACTTCTTGAAGCACAACAGAAAAACTAGTCTTTGATCTTGCTAGCCACCGTCGAACATTTCTTCATATGTAGTGGATAAAACAATGATAGGATATAGGTCGATCAGATATAAATAACTGTCACCTCGATATTCAGAGATTTGACTCTTGAATGATATCCTGAACAATTATCGTTACAAGTAACTGGTCAGTTATCGTTACTTGCAACGGTAGCTGATCAACCGTTACCTTTACCAAGAACGACAACTGTTTAGCAGTTACCGTTACCGAGTAACGGTGGTAACGCTAACTGGTAACTGTCACAGCCCTAGGTTTGAACAAGTTCACAAAACTCAAAACACTCTTTGTATAGCTTTTCTAATGTGCTCTTTCCAATGAAATACTTTTCACAGCTCAAAAATCCGTCAAATTGGGTTTGTCAGAAATCCATGGGTTTCTAGAGACCAAAACGGTTTAAAAAATCCATATTTCCTCGAGGAAATAATTGCTTAAAGTTAAGGAGAAAAAAGAAATTTTTACCTTCCTCTATCTCATTTTTCTTTTAGCGCGAAGTTGTTCTTTTCAGAATTTCAGAGAAATTTTCTCTATAGGTCAGGTCGAAAAGTTCGTGAAAGCTAAAACTTTGAACCAATCAACTGACTATGAGCTACGAGATGAACGTTGCCTAAGTGATTTTTGAGAGAGGCATTGAGTATATAAAGTCATGGCAATTCCAGTACAACAGTGGCTACTAGAGACGCAGTTTTTAAAATCGCATTGGCGGTCGACATCAACCTCGTATTCAAATTTACTGTCATTGATAATCCATAATGAGACGGATTTTGTGTAAAAACGATTTTACATTTCAAACAGGTGCTCTCATGAGCTATACTTACCAAAAGTAAAAGGTCCCACAGATGTTCCATCTTCAGTTAAAAATGTAAATTCTAACAGACAATGATCGCCATGTATACCGGCAAATGAGCCCCGTATCTCGTATGATACCATTTCACAACGAATCCATTTACGATACTGTCCAAGAGGAATAATTCGTGACATTTTCATTGTTGTTGTATTCGATTTACCACCCCAAAACACACAATTGATACTATGACCCGATTCATCACCAATCATGCCTTGTTCTGGATTTTTACCATTTAAATAATCCTGTAATAAAATGATATCAATTAATGTTATTGTCGAACCAATTTCCCTTTTCCATCCATAAATATTTGACGATATTGTATCAATATTTGTGGCACAATTGGTGTAATATTGTCCAGATGGACTATTGGTAATTAAATAAGTCTTAAAATGTTCATGAATTTGTGTACCATTTGGCAGTATTGCACCATCTAACGAATATGCATATAATAAGTCTACTTCATCAATAATTGCATTGGTTAAATCAGCTTTAGTGAAATCGATAAATCGCCCTACGCTATCACTATCGAATATAAAATGAGCATTTTGTAATTGTGTACCAATAAACTTAACATACATTAAATGTGAATAATAGAAATTAGCTCCTTGAAGATTTGAACGACTAAAATCTGAATATCCAAGCTTTAAATTAACAAATGAAGCATTTTGTAAAAAAACATTGGCTAAATATAAACTTATTGGTGGATCATAATCTATTCGTGGTTTTTCAGTTATACGACTAAAATTAACATAACCCAGATTAGCACCAGTCAGATCAATTAATGGTAGTTGATCATCATCTAATCGCTGACCAATTAGGTCCCATTCATAAAGATATTGAATTAAAAATAGTTTTCGATTAACATCTAATTGTCTCAAAGCTGTTAATGTTTTAACACGCATTAATTTTTTTGTTCTCGAATTATTAACATGTTCTTCATTTCCCAACAGTTCAGACATTTCTTTAATATATGTAGTAAAAACAGATTCATTACGTTGATCAGCTGCTGCTTGTAATTCCTGTAGTTGTGCAATATTCAAATCATTTAGATGCTGTTTTTCATTTCGTTCAATATCGCTCAAACGTTGAAGATGATTTGTTTGACGTTGTTGTAGAGTTGTTACTATCGTAAACACACCGATCATAAATGGGACTAACATAGATGAAAACAATTGTAACCAATTCCATAATGTTTTATCATCAAATCCAAACCGTTGTGACCAGCTTCGTTTTTGTTTAGTTTCATCAGCAGTTTTTTCAATGTTATCAACACTAAAGAAAAAACACAATGTTTGACAAATAAAACATTTGGACATAAACCGAAAGTGATTTTTTTATATAAATGATAAAGTGTATACTTCGATATTACGGACCGTTATTTTGATTAAATATTTTCCGTTCAAACACTCAGAATTTCTGCTACTACAGGTTTGTGTAAAACATCGTCAGCCAAGAATTAGTTTAAAAATCTAATAACTCTGATGTATTTTCTTTTGTCAGAAAAAGCGTATCAACGTAAATCTCAAAAGTCTAAATGTGAAACTTCTTCGTAAGTCTTTGAAAAAACTTAGTTTCGTATGTAGATGGGGATGAATGGGGAAGACGGGAGGGGCTGTTTGTAAAAGTACACTGAAAGGTGTCTAATGCTACTATATTGCACGTACATAAAATTTCACTCGGTTTCTTTTTATCAGTCAAAATGATATAAGAATAAGATTTACAGTACGTCACGGATTCTAAATTTGGATTGCTTTTTGGCTCTATATTTCTTCAAAATATTTATTTGCATGTAGAATCTACACTCTCATAGAAAGATAATTAGCTAACCAAGTTTCCGTAGATCTGTGTTCATCAATACAATGAGCGTACTAACCTTTTTATGCTTTCAAGTTTTTCAAGCCTTGTCAGAATATTCCTCTATGTGTCCCATATCAGTGCACCCTAGAAATAAAGTGTTGCCTAAAGAAAAGTGTCTTCTCAGAAGATTTTTGGTAGTGTTTTATTAGAAACTGTTTTCAGAACATCCTTCAGAAAGAGAAAAAAATGTATCTTTTAGTCTAACTTTGCGTTTTCTAACAAGACGATTGTTTTGCATACTGTGAAATTAGCTATAGCATCACTATTTCAAAATCTTACTTTGACTTTTCTGCGAATATCAGATTTTTTATGTTGGATCTACTTTTCTCAATTGAGAAAACACAAAGTTGTGTACTGCAGGACAGAGGGAAGACAGCGACGAACGGCTCTATAACGATGACATCATACAGAGTTTTAGCAGAAAATGTTTAGGCAAGAGTACATTATATAATCAGAGAGAATTTTTAACCGAAAAAAGAAGTTATGTGGCCGCCTACTGTGTATTAAAAGCCTGAAACGAATGCTGAACATCTCACTTGTTGGTGCTTGCCATATTATTTAATTCCAATATAGTACCGTCAGAAAATTTTGACTGCGACAGCTTCTGTCGTTCAGGCATTTTGTGCTTTTTTGGAGAGCTTGAAATAAATGTTATTAATATTGAAGAGGAAAGAAAGCACTCGAATCTTTATATATTCATTTTTTCAGAGCTCTATCTTCTGTTTACTTACTCATTCATCGTGTGTCATCTTTTAAAAGAAACGAAAAAGAACAAAAAGATTTTATGATCCGTTTATTAAACATTTCGTCGTTATTTTTGTCTTTTTGAGAAAAAAATAATAATCTTCTGACTACTTAAAACAAAAACACTGGATCATGATTGTAATCAGTTTCAAACAACCAATAGGTTACAGGCAAGAATCCTATCTCTGATAAGGAGAAAACAGTTGAGTTAATTTTTTAATAGACATAATTAAACTGCCTCAACGAAAAAGGAGATGTTCGAAATGTCATTGTAATTCATTTGTCATAATGTGGTTATAGGAATAAATATCTTTGTGAATTTCTATAAACCGTTTTTATAAAAGTTTGATGTAAGTGACAGAATGAGCTTATTTCACTACTGAGGTAATGAAGTACAGAACTGCTATAAACATGATTAACCAATCATAATGTATTTATTTCATTGATATTTCGACAGAATCCACTGTCATCATCAGAATGAAAAAAGTGTAAAATTTGAAACTATACATAGTCAAATATAGAGTGCAAAAGGAAAAAGGGGGAAAAATAATAAAATATAGAACAAAAAACACGTCCAGTCTGTAGATGAGTAGAGTCGACAAAAAGAAGCGCTTATTTCTGTTTTAAGGACATATTTGTGCCACATACATTGCACTCTTAGAGTATTAATCAGAAAACTTTTAGTTTATATTTTACATCGTTGATAGCTTTTTCGTTTGCTTGCATTGTTAATAGGCTTTCTTTGATTACCCTTCGTTTCCAAGTTGATTCTAGAGCTAGAGTTTCGACATTAGTGAAATTCATAGAATGATTGTTAGTATTACAAAGCCAAAGTAATTTTCAAGAAAATAAACACACCTCAAGCTCGACAAACTCAAATAACAAAAAAGAAAGAAATTTTCTTCGCTTTCTCTTATTATGGGCCAGAATCTATCGAGTTCGGTCAGAAAATAAGAAAGCTGTGTAACAAATTATTACCAAACATTACGCTGAATGTAGCTTATAAGAAATATTCTACTCTTAAAAATATATTCTTACCAATTCAAAAAGGCGTCGATCCATCTCGAAAAGATAAGAAATTAATCTATTGTATATGTATTCTAGAGCTAGAGTTTCGACATTAGTGAAATTCATAGAATGATTGTTAGTATTACAATGTTGTGCGATTTGTGAAGTTATTTTGTTTTCTTTAATATCTTTTATATGTTCACTCGTTCTAGTAGACTTTTTCGATTAGTTTCTCGGGTGTATTTCATTTCACAATTATTACAACATATACAATAGATTTGACTATGTATAGTTTCAAATTTGACACACTCATTTACACTTTTTTCATTCTGATGATGACAGTGGATTCTGTCGAAATATCAATGAAATAAATACATTATGAATGGTTAATCATGTTTATAGCAGTTCTATACTTCATTACCTCATTATTTAAATCATTAACTGCTCTTTCTCCTAACTTTATTATTTAACCGATTAGTCTAACCGATGTTCGGCTACTTCGGTGTTTTTGTTTGTGTTATGTTCGGTGTTGTTGGTGTTATGTTTGTTACTTCGTTATAACCGATGCATACCTAGTCGCAAGCGTGTACCGATTAACGTTACTGTAGAACATCTAATTTAATGAGTGCTTCAGATTTCTTTTATTTAGGTCTGCAAATGCTGAAATAGGCTGCTGATTCGTATTTCAAAGTTTATTTTCAACAAACGAGTTATAAATTCAGCGATAAATCTTAAATCATTGAAATAATCCTGCTGTTTTCAATAAAAACTAAATTCCTAGTTCACTTAGAACTAGTTTAAAACATTTGAGATTTTCGTGATGCGCATCTTTGATATGCACTCTAAAAAAATGCGGCTTCTAAGAGGACACGGAAGTCGGTCCCCATTTAGCCGTATTTGAGCGACTCTTTTGAAGTCACTTTGATGTGTCTTTTGGAAAAGGCTCATTAAAAAATATGTTCGATCCTGTCAAGAACTGAACTCGATCTACTCGCTTACCAAACGAATAATATCCGTTCAGAAATAGAACAAAATAAACCGTGAAAATTGAGGACTTCCAGTGTCGCTACTCTCCCTCATGTCCCTTACCCGGACTTTTACATTCTCTCTACGATTTGGCACGTCCTTGTCAGATTCTGGTAGAGCCGGAATAGGAGTTCTAACAGAATTCAATCAGGTTCTGAACAGAATCTTGGTAACAGTATATATTTGAATGTGTAAAATTCTATCAGTTTTAGGAATTTCCATAGAATTATAGAACTTGACACTGCTGCTATGCGAGCACTTGAAAATCGAATAAATAATTCAACAGAATCTTAGATATCGCCGTTTGACGGCTTACCTCTATGCTTAAAATGTGTCACAGACAGACTAGAGTATGTTCTACGCACGACCCACTCTTGCAAGACCCACTCCATGGTTCTCCGATGGCGAACAGTTTTTTGGGACCTACCTAATTCTTTTGCGTTAGGTCAGTGAATCGTAAAGATTTTGTCCGATGAACTACATCAGTTTCAGAAAAATTACTCTCATACATGACCAAATAAAGTGATGTCTTTTCTACAAAACGATGAAAACTCAAACTCTGTAGCACTTTTTGTTCTTGAATTATTCCGAAAACATCCGATGACCTTCTATTTTCTAATACAGCACAAATTTTTCCATTTTTATCAACAAACACTTATATTCGACTATTAATTAATATTATTTATGTGTATTCCTATTATTTATTAAAAGAAAGGAATAGTAAATAACAGAAGAGAGCATTCTAGTGGCTCATCCCATCGTATTTAATTGGCTCGACAATTGTGTTTTGTTTGTCTGGGCATATAAAGTTGTAATACAAACAATTGTCCAACATAAACAAATTGTATATAATAACTTAGCATTGCAGGTTAACTACCAATCAATCGCTACATAATTGTAAATAGTAGCTATAATGCAATCTTACTACTTATGATCTGAGCTGTGTCAACATCGAGTACTGTTGTTTTGTCTTTTTAATACAAAGAAGTACGATCAGGTGTCTACAACAAGCAGTCAAGCAACACACTTCTCAAGTTCAACGGCAACATTCTCTTGTGAATCTGCTCAACAATCTCTCTGCCACGATTCAAAACCTCAACAAAAAGCTCGATGAATCACCTACTTTCTCACAGCAGCAGCCGTCAGCCCAATCTTCTCAGCAACAAACAATTGCAAACCCTTCATTTACTTCTCAGCATCGTCCACTGTCGAACAAAATAAAACACTGTATTATTGGTGACTCGTTAACGACACACGTAGATAAATGTAAACTTCAGTCGATCCATCTTCAAACCGATATTCGTTCGTTTCCTCAAAGCGGTACCCTCGAGTGAGTCTCTCACATTTTTTCTATTTCGCTTAAATCCGGTATTTTTCCGTCTATGTGGAAAACAGCACTTATTCGTGCTATCTTCAAAAAAGAAAACAAATTTTTGATGAAGAATCATCGACCAATTTCTCTCTCGTGTAATGCTTGTAAAATCTTTGAAAAAATTGTTTAGAAATCTTTGCTGTCCTTCTTAACAGTTACAAACTTCTTTTCTAGTTCTCAGTTTGGTTTTCGTTCAAAAACTTCAACCGTGGACGCTCTTCTCTTTATTACTAACCAAATATATCATTCTTTGGAATCTAACACAAACTTATAGGAATTTCTTTTGATTTTGAGAAAACATTTGACAAAATTCCGCATTCTTTACTTCTTCAAAAACTTTCTTTAGCTGGTATCTCCGGCGTTTTGTTCAAATGGTTTAAATCATATCTTTCAGATCGTCTCAGATCGTCACTGTAGGAACTTCACGCTCCTCTACAGTTCACATAACATCTCCATGCAAGGAAGTATTCTTGGACCTATACTATTTCTTATTTTCATTAATGATCTTCCTTCTGCTATAAAAACTGCTGTTCTAACATCCCTGTTTGCTGATGATGTTTTTTGTTTAACATCAGTTTTTTCAGCACAAAAGTGTCTAAATGAAGTACTTCAATAGTGTGAAGATAATCACGTTAATCTTAACATTGACAAATGCCAATGGGTTTTATTTTCTTCCACTAAAAATACTCTGTCTTCTGTTTCTTTATCAATCAAAAATACACCGATTCAACGCGTCTTTTCATTAAAATTATTAGGCGTCTTTCTTTCCTACAACTTAACATGGAAAACACATCCGGATTCCATTGCTACAACTTGCCGCAAAATGTTAGGTTCTATTTCTCGAGTTTTTCGCGATTGTCCGTATTCTCTGCGTCTTCATTTGAACAAAACGTGTGTGCGTCCGGTGCTTGAATATTCTTGTGTATTATTTGATTCTGATTTCATAGACACGGTTCAACGTTTAGCTTCTCGTATTATTCTCCAAGACTATTTAAGTTCTCCAGACTTTCTTCTCAAAAAACTGAAACTATTATCTTTATTAGTGCGTCAATATTACAGGCTCACTTACTTTCATAAAATCTATCACAGTGGAAGTCCTGTTTCTTCCCACAAGCTTATCTCACCTTTTACCACTCGTCAGACTTTACGCCGAGGACAGACGGGTAGTAATTCCAGACTTTAAGCTTAAAACCACTCGTAGTTCTTTTATACCAAAAACATCTAAAGCATGGAACAATTTCCCTTCACCCTTGGCACTTCAGAATAATCACAAAGTTTTTAAGGAGATGCTTCGACGGGAATTGGGTTTGACTTAAACAACCCTATTTGTATTTATATTATCTTCTCTTTGTTCACTGGGGAATGCTATCTTATTTTGTTTGTTTCTAGTTATACAGGTATCA